GTTATCTCTCTTTTATTCCATGGTTATGAGTGGAGTGTCTTTGTGGATGTTTTGAGAGTAGAAAATATTAATTCAACAACTCAAATTGAAATGTGTGGTCCAGTTTGAGTTTTTTTTTAAGCTATGTCTTTTTTAGCTCTATATAGAGACATAATGCTGTAATAGTATTATTTTTTTGATTTCATTAGGTGACATTATGGTCAAAATATTCACCTTTTCTTGAATAAAAAAACTTTCACAACAAACAAAATCAATATTTTTTGCATAACATTTTACACATATTCATATTTTTTTTATCAATTAATGTCATAACCAATAAGATTAAAGTTTTATATGTATAATGATGATTTCACTTATTATTAAAATTTATAATATTATGTGAAAAGGTTTACATGATTGTTAGATAAATAACTCAAATGATTTCATAATCAAATAATAATATTTTTTATGCATTTCATAGAAAAAAATGTAATATTTTTGATGTGTTTACTATATATTCATAATTTTTTCAATATAGTAAAAATTTAATAGTAAAACTTTAAAATTAAATCTATCTTATGACATGTTTCACTCCCTTCATACTTTCTCTCTCTACTTCATAATGCCCACAAATTCAGACTATAATATATTAAACACACTTAAAAAAATCCCAATAACAACATCAATAATCATCAAACAACAACAACAATGCAAATGGATGTGATTTGTAATAACTTATAAAAAATTATTTTTAAAAAATATTTTATTTCTGGAATTAAATAAAAATAAAAATTATTGCATGACATGAACATTACAATACTTATGTGTATATGTATATATATATATAATAGAAAATTTTCATTTTTTATGAAATAAACCTAGATTTGTTGTGTTTCACTATGTTATAGTTTTTATAATATATTTCTATAATATTTAATATTGAATTATAATTTTTATTATTTAAAATAATTAATTATTTAAAAACTTTGATATATTTTTATAATTCTATATCAATATAAAATTTTAAATATTAATCTAAAAATAAATATTTTTTAAAATTATAAAAATATATTTTGAATGAAAAAAATTAAAATTTTTTATTAAAATTTTTAAAATTAAATATTAAATATTAATTTTATTAATTATTATTTATATAAATTGGATTTTTAACTCATTATACATATTTTATAATTGATATACACTTAAAATCTTAAATTTAAATTTTTTGATTTTTAATCACTTATGTAGTGTATATCTATATATACAATAATAAAAATATTTATATTGATTACATATAGCAAATCATTTATGTTAAATAAAAAATATTTGATTGGTGTGGAAATATTGTGAGCAATATACACTAATGGTGGATTTTTTTAATGAATTTATTTATGCATCAAATTAAGATAAATAATTACCATATCTTTGAATAAGTATTCAATCAAATCCTACTCAAAAATATTACTTTTGCTAATTTTAAAATGTGTTTATTGATCATATAAAAAAAATATTTATTTTATGATTTCTGATTGTGCAACTTTTTATACTATTGTATCAAGGAATCTTGATTTATTTTAAATCCTAAATCCTCATATTTAGCTACACATAAATAAAACAGAATACATTTCATATAATTTTTTTACATGATTTGGTGGATGGGCATCAAATACGATAGAAGATTGGTCAAAATCATAATTGTTACCCTATTTAATGCATAAAGTTTTTGGAAAAATAAATTTTTTAGTTTAATTGGGTATTTTTCACTAACTTTGTTAATTTAGTTTAGTACATTAGTTAATCCATCCTAAGCTGATTTTTTTTCACATATGTGATAAGTAAAAATTTTTTATCAACTTTATGTTATTTTAATTCTCAACAATTTAAAAAATGAATAATTCACAATATTGAAGGAACAACGAGATGAAAAATGTATGCTTGCTTTCTATGCCTCACAACAAGCTAAATACTATTATAATGAGTATCTAAATGCTTGTAAGTACTAGTAAATTGATATAGTATGTTATATATGAACTTATGTTCTTTTGTGTATTAACATAACATGCATTTTTTTATGAACTATGATTAAAAAAATCTAAGGGGTCTTTTCTTTGTCATTTCACCAAAACTTACGCTGAAGTGCAATGCTTGAGATTGAATTGTATGCATAATTATTTTGGTTTCTTCAAACTAATATGATGGGCTCCGCCTTGTCGATTTGTGAAAAATGGAATTATAATAATGTGTGTGCATTGAGAAGCTTTTTTTAATGTAATTGGGATCTCAATTCTGCAACCTCATTAACCTGAGAACCCAAAATATTTAGGGGTAGGGGGAGAACCCTCTAGCCATGGGAGGTACAATTTTTTGAAAAATATTCTAAATATTAACTTCACTTCGGCAAATGTACACACCATCTTTACTTTCAAACCTTTTCATGAGCCGATTTTTCCAAGTTTTGACGATTTTAATTAATATTCAATGTAATTCTTGAGATAACAAGTTTGCATGACGTATATTGCTAAAATCAAATTTCATATCCTTATGACATTTTTCCAAGAGTCGGGAATAACTTAAATTATGATCTTCTCACATGGAGTATATTGAGATAGTTTTTGAGTAATAGTGTTCTCACGGAAAGCTTGATTTATATGAAGATAGTTTATAAGCAATACTAGTTTTAGATAAGAGCAATGTTCTTTTTCTTTATCAGTCAGTGTAGTAATCTTCACATTATATTTTGAGCTACATTGAAGACCTTATACGCCTCTATAATGTTTATTCTCATATCTTTTTACTGGATTATTATGCTCTTTTGTTGATTGATCAAGAAAAATTAAGATATTTCACCAGATTTTATAAGATTTTATGGAGATGTACATTTAGGCCAGACTTTTGTAGAACAAGATCATCAATAGGAATGGTTAGATGAAGTAGACGAAGATGTCGAAAGACATAATCTACACTACTTTTGGACAATCAAAATGTTACCAACTGCTCTTTATTATTACACTTTTTAAACCATGCATGAGTCTTTTTTATATTTCATTCAATCTAAATGTCTCCAAAAGACCACGTGGGTGCAGATATTTAACTAACTTTGATGCACATGTGGATATATATGGAACATGAACACGATCGAAATCTTTTGTTAGTGATGGAACAAGTCAAATTGCAAGTGCTATTAATCACAAGTATAAATTGGGTGAATGTTCTTCAGATGATTCAGTCATGGAGTTGGGTGAAGTTTTCATTAACTTGAAGACTTTCTTTGACAAGAGACTTCCCTTTCCTGAGTCTAATTCAGTGTACTGACAATTGCTTAGTGAGAAAGACAAGTGTGAATCAAAACGGACGTGCCATTCTATAAGTCTATTTTGACACATCCAATAATACTAAAATCATATTGCTCTCAACATAATCAAGTTTATTGGAAATGTTTTATCGGACTTTTGTTCATGGAAGAAGCATTCAACTATTAAGCATCGGGTTAACCACATTAGAGTGATTAGACTCATGAGAATGGCTCCATAGGTTATTCTAAAATACACATGATTACTACATACAATTATGTAATTATGCATATTACATTCTTAGCAGTTTGACTTTTTGGCTCTCCATCCCTCATTTAGTGTATTGTACACTATATAGAGTAAATACACTAATTAAAGTACACATGATTAATATAGATATTTGAATAAAAATTATACACTAATAGTTGTCAACTTCACTACTTTGTAAACTTACTCACATATCAGATTGAAACATGTGATAAAATAAATCTTTGGCTTAGGAGTTGCAATGTCTAATCCAGTTGAAAAAAATATTTTGCTAAAGTGAAATTTATTGGTGTAAATATATACAAGATTAGGATCCCCTATGTTCTTATGATCCCATCAATCGATTTCCATAATCCTTAAACCTTAAAATCATTTAAAATTTTGTTCCAATATAATCAGGAAAATTAAGTTTTTAGAATTATCTCTAGAAAAAGATGTGGCAGAAAAATCTGTCATGAAGGATGTTAAAATGGTCAAAATCATAATTATATCCTGAATTAGTTTTAATGATTTTTTCAAAAAAGTGCATCACTTGATTAGTGCCAATTACACTAGTATATAATAATGAGTTATATAGAATAATTACGGACTTGTTTGTAGTATATACCGTTTGGATATATAGTGTACCATGGGTATTTCTTAAATTTGTTAAAGAGAATTTAGGTTGGTAAACAATCAATTGTGTAAACCTATACTTACATGTTTAAAGTACATGACATTTCATTTGTACACATGTAATAATGTAACACTTCATTGTTTTTGGTTTTGATGAATTCTGACATAGTTTTACACTTGTTAAAGTGACGTTGTAGCTGCATATACGACTTCACAAATGTTTGGTTTCTACCAAAGTCATGTAAATAATGTTTCCATGCATCTGAACCCCAAAAGCTTTGATGAGGAATTGTTTGGTTAGCACAATGCTTCACAGTAGTTAATGTTGAAGAGAACGGAAACAGTCTAAATCTAATTGTTAAACTGTATTTTCGTGGGCAGCTGTGCACCAAATATGGTGAATTATCAAATTCGAGTGGAGAGCATGGATGCTCAGCTAGGCCACCTGGGTTTTTTGCAAGCCCAGATGTGCGATCACCACTAGTACTTCCTTGACCACATCTTCAGACCAAATGGTAAATAAATAAGCATGTACGTTCCAGTGTGGACAGTATTGATCCTCACACTGGAATTAGACATCTTTAGTAATACTATGATGTGCTGCACTTTTTAAGTTTTCCACCTTTTGTTCTTAGTGATCATGTGTATTAATAATTTTCATGAAGATCACAATCCGTTTGTGGTTGTCCATATTGAAACTGGGGAAATCTAGCCCGTGATGCTTGGTACAGATTATTCACTGGCGAGGGTTGCGGGGGAGGTGGTACTGATTTAAACAGATAAGTCCAAGCAACGACACCTAGCGACATCGAGTACCTGAATCAGTCAGAGTACTAGGCAATGGCAGCTCGCGGTTTGAACTTGACATGAATAAACCACGCAACCTTCTGATCTGGAGTCAGATGCGCTACCATTGCGCCACGAATCCCTAAGGGGCAGAAATACCAAATAATTGTAATGTTACTTGAAATTGTGACTTTCGGTCATATTTCCTCATGTACGCGATATGTACATGGAGAAAAATACGGACATTACGTACAAAATAGTTTAATCTTAAGATTAAAGATATCTTTAGCATGATTACTTTGATATTATATATGTTAAAAATATGAACAAATAGAGATTTTAAGAATTAGAATAGTTCATCACTCGATTATTGCTTCCTACTCTTATACTTAAAAGACTCTGCCTCCGGAAGATCGGATTTAGACCTGAGGGAAATGACGATCTAAGGCCTTCTGTACCGAAGGATACCTCATGCTAGTTTGAAATGAGTGTTGATCCCGTTGGGTGTTTCTCACTGTGTATCACATGAGCAATACGGAAACAAGAACTGGGTTGATGGTAGATGCGATCAAAGTATGCACGCACTTACCATCAACATGTTTACTTGGTCCACAATGAGTTCAGTGTTTGGTTTCACCAGTTTGATTAATCTTGTCTCTTCGAGGTAGAAACAAGAATGTCGGAGTTGTGATCTGCTTAAATCAAAGTGAACTTAGAAGAGCATTAATACCTCGTTATAGTCACGTGGTTGTTTAGGGGAAAAAATGTGACTATAATGGGGCATAAAATACATCTTTATAATCACAATTACGAAGAAATCGTTCCAATGTGTGATATACATAAAATCACATTCTTACACCATGTTTCGAACACTTTTCTAAGTTTCTCATGATTTATAAGCAAAATTTGGCAGTAGAAGCTTGCTAGGCATCGAGTAACCTTATTTACGATGCGATTGGAAAAACATATGATTATCTTTGTAAACTAAGGTTACTGATAAGTGAAAATGTTCAAACTTTGCAGCTATATACTAGAATTAAAACACATGTATTGCTTCCTTCCCTTTACATATATGCTCAAGGATGATTTCACAAGTCAAAGAATATTTTTATTATATTCCAAAAAGCGAGTAGAGTAGATTTACACTCTTTTGCATTATTTTCTCTATCAATCGAAACATTTAATCCATCGTTGAAATCGGAAAATGACAAGACAAATGATTTTGGTATGATTTTATAGTAAAGGTTGACATTTCACGGAGTGAAGAATATTCCAAAATTTCCTCGTTATATTTACTTTCTTTGTTGGATTGTTGATATTTTTGTGTGACAGTGATTAGAAGAAGGTGGATTTGCAATTCAATAAATCGGTCTTATGATATGTATATGATGATGTGAGGGCGTATGTACAATGAGGTGATATTTTTGAGTGATAGGGATTACAAGTCGGTAGATTTGCAATTCAATCAATCGGTCTTATGATATGTATATGATTATGAAAGGGCGTAGTTACAAGGAGGTTTGACTGTCTTTAACCCATCACTACTGCAGTTGGCGAGGCCACTGGAGCAAAAAGTTTAGTCAGGAATAAAAAGATGTACAGCTGTTCCATTTTGTGGGCTACACTTCCTCATGCAAGTAATGTGTATTCAAATGACCAAAAAGCTACATCGTAATAATCTCCTCTGTCAATATATATCTATTAGGTGGTGTGGTCACCAGGTTTGACCTTCTTTTTGCTTCTCCATCTGATATTATCTCACTTCTGTTGATTTTCGTTTCTGATTTTCAGCATTTTAACCTACGATAAGAAAGGTGCCTAAAAAATATGATAACTTACTAGACTTTACTAGTTTCTCACGCTTGGTCATTTCACCGTTCCACATTTGGCAGCCCATGCCATCTATGAAGTCTTGTAAACAAAGGAAAGGAACTTAAGTACTGTAAATGACCTCATTGCAACGAGGACTGTAACACTTTACCAGAACAGCCATGTTTTTCGTGATCAGGAATGACGGTCACGGCAAATTGTTTTGGCTGCCACTTGACCTGAGCTTTGTCCATTGTCGTGTCAATCAATGCTGAGAACCAAAGTTGAGTCCAAGATGCAGGACAGATTTGGGTTCCCAAGGCGGGAGCGTTGAAGTTTGAAATAAGGCAACCGTCATTTCCTTGAGCGACTTGTTGCCTGGAGCTTTGCGTAATGTGACGAAGTTTCTTGTGAAGAACTCACTTGGAAGTCGAGGCGTGTAGAATTGCGGACGTGAGCATCTTGATGACTTGTATCACAAGCTTAGCCGTTCTGTGTTCAGCAGAGGTATCTCCGGCTTTGTAGTGCGGACGAAGACGAGGAGAAAGACAAGTTTTGGGAAACCGTAGTAGGAGTCGTTTTATATTCGAAGTGAGACATTTCTACCGGTTGGATTCTCCAAGTTGGCATGCTGGTGGTGTAATCAAAATATTTTTGAATCCTCGTTGTGAGACCTGTGGATATCATTGTACTCCGAAAGGAATAAACCTACCACCACCATGAGAAGACGTTAAACTCGCCTCTCCAAGGTCCGTTTTCTCTAATCTAAGATGTCTCTGAATCTTCCCAGCTTATGATATGATTCACACGTACAGAAAGCCTTTTCAGGGTTCTTTCTTCCAGCAAAACCTGAAGACTTAAGAACAGTAAACGTTCAGTTCCAAAATACGGTAAGCCTTTCAAAATGCCTTACGAGGTTGATAACCTTGATGAAATATATTTAGCCAACCACATTTCCACATCTGTCGTTCCTTTCAGTTACTTAGTCACTGATGGTTCTTCCCTTCTGTCATGGCATACAACATGGACCTTCCCAGTCCTCTTGGGACTGTACGAACGTTCTGGATGATGAGGAAAAGCCACTGAAGGAGTACATCACACATTTCAAAAAGTAGGTACAGTTTATGATGCAATGACAAACTTTGTGCATTATGTTTGCATACTTTTCCATGTCAAAAAACGCTCCAAGTTGGTGTAAATCCAAATAAAATATTTGCTTGCGGAACAGAAGCTAAAACTTTGCTCCCAAAAGATGAAGACGTGGGTCGTGCAGTCTAGAGCGCTGTTACAATGGATGATTGGAGGCCTGCTGATAAAGTTTTCGGCATATCACATACATAGTGTCATCTTCTGGAAGAAACAATGTTGTCAACTTGATATCTACATCTCGATATATTCTCCTTTCATCGTGAAATTGAACACCATGGATGTGAGACTCTGCGGCATCAAGGACTTGTTCAAACAAGAAATTGCACAATGTAGTTCAGTCATTTTACAATTGAATCTTGAAACCTTGTCTTACTCTTTTCCCATCTCTAATCGCTTCGAGCCTTTTTCGTAGGAAACTTCACTTACGAAAGAACCAAACAACCAGCAAGAAATATATAGCGGGCTTGATGGGAAGACCCCATCAACCCGTATATGGATGAAACCAAATAGTAAGATGTGGCTAATCCCCAATAAAATATCTAAACTATGTAGGTCAACGGTCTACATATTACATAGCATACGAAGAAATATAAGATAACGTGCTCTCCTATAAATTATACGATAAATACGAAATAATATAAAGAGAGTGACACCCACATTAACGTAGTATGGTAACCTTTTGCGCACGCTAGAACTAGAGATATGTTTCATCAGTAACACACTCCGTACTGCTGCTGACTTGGCAAATTGCATACACTACTATGGTTTGTGTTCGTCGGTGCTATTTTGTCCTTATGTCGCGAAGGAAGATTCTGTTGCCAGAGCGGGATCTATTTGGAAGAATTGGCAAACTCTTGAGGTGTGGGATGTGAACGGTGGGTATGCCGTAAAACCCTACCTTCTCAGGGTTTTGATTGGAACTCTGCTTTCTCACGACGAAATTGCGTTTGTTTATTATTTTCAAACTGTGGAAAATGTCGATGACCAACAAGAGCACCATACAGAGCTGTGCGGAATTTGGCAGCTCGGTACTGTTGGACATCAATGACGGTGACAAAATGACATTTGCCCGTCTTCACAGCACATCGTGAGTACAAACGCATTGATAAATTTCCAACCTCAGTTTGCTCTTTTCATTATTTCAGCTAAGCAGTAAAGATTTTGGAAATTTGACCTCGTTGTATCCCTGATAGGCCATAATAATTTGAATTTGTTCTCTTCACACCAAGCTGTGACTTTAGTTCGATAGACAAAGCCTCGCTGCAGTTCGCGTTTTCATTATTCGCAGCTCAGTTGGTGGATTGATTTCTCGGCGTATCCTGCAGGACACTGAAAATCGGCAATACCAAATGTACCCTCGAAACTTTAGTCGGACAGCCCTTTGGGGCTGTTTTCGAGATGCAAAGTGAACGGAATAGCGCCAAACTTGTTCGACTGCCCAATGTCTCAGGCAAATGATACCTCTTACGCATGGATTCCTCTCTGGACCAAGATTGTTGACTTGGATAGCTTTTTACTGTCATTTGGTTTCAGTCAGTTTTTGAATCTTGGGGCACGGGACTTCGTGTGTGCACCAATAGGAATCAAATTCTTTCGGCGTCTTTGAGGAATAAAGACGCCGAAAGATTTGCAAGATCTGACCGTGTCAACTGCATTACAGATGTGAATGGCAAGAATGAAAAGCGGCAGCAAAATGAGACAGATCAAGATTCTGAAGATGTGAGGGATAGAGACAATCGAGCCTTGGTGGACGATAATAAAGCGCAGACTCTGTCGTCTGATGACATCGACCGTATGAAAAGGTGTTTCTTCGTCATTTACTTGCCCTTTTAGTGTTTTGTAATGTTGGATGTCCCATAATTTTCGTGAGTAGAGGTTTGGTTGCCAGTGGGTGACGTTCATTTAAAACGATGATGGTTTGCAGAGATGGTGCATCAGGGAAGGAGATCATTGAGGCTCTTGTAGCCAATAGTGCATCCTTTGAAACTAAGACAGCTTTCTCACAGGTAATGTTTGGATGGTTGTTGCATCTTCGTGGTCTTATCTTGTTTCTTTTTGTGAAAAGTAGTAGATCGATGTTTTGAACTCATGGAGGATGTATCATTGCGCAGGAGAAGTACATGAAGAAAAAGCAGAAGAAATATGCGCCGCGAGTGCTTCTAAGGCGTCCGTCTGCAAGGAGGTAGGTTAT